TCATATCTTCAGCCATGTTATTGTGGTTCATCGTCTGCATAAGACGACAGGTTGGTACAAGAGGACAGTACGACATGTATTGTAGCAATTTTAACACTATTGATAACTGTTAAAATTAGTGCTTTAGTGAAATTAATTGCACTAAAATTGTTTACATTATCTCAGACAAATGAGCATTGACTTGATCTGTTAGGTGGGTTGCCTAGGTTCAAACGCTTCTAGTTAGGTAAAACCCCTGAAAATTTGACTTACGTCAATTTGAGAAAACGAGCTGGAAAACTGACGTGTTGTATTACACATTCACCATTAGACAGACTTTTGTTTCATTACTTCCAGATAAAAAAAAAATTATTTGTTGAAATACTTTTCATTCTATTGAAAATTACTTTGAGATATTTAAGATCATTAAGCAATAACAAAAATCACAGTGTAATCATTTATGAACATTGTTATTGCTTCAATTTCCCTAACAAAGTTCCACTAAACCTTAAATATATAATATGCACAAGAACTATTTCAGTATTGATAAAAATAGTACAGGATGAGTTGCCCAAAATCCTAACTCATCTGTAACTAATTTCTACCTTAAACTAATCTAGCCTAACATCCAGATAGCATGGTTAACTATGAGAAGCAAATAGAAAGTAGGTAAGCACATGTGATACCAACAAAAGCTGTACCAATGCTATATTAAAGCTCTTATAGATAACAATTTGTAAACAGTATTTACATTACACTTTAATCTCACAATTAGCTAAAATCAAGACTCCTATTGATTATTATGGTACTGAAGTGCCAGTACAGTATCCACCTATATATCAGAATGTTGACACCAACAGTAACCACAATCCTCCTTTTTTTTGTTATTTATTTAAGTATTTTCAAAGAATAGCTTTATGATCCACAGTTCGTGTGGTTCCATGAACCTTCCATGGTTCGAGACTCCTACAGCCGAGGTGAATGGAATAGCTTTGTTTCCTTGTTCCTTGTGAACTCGAAATTCTAAACCTATTAGAAATTTTGTCATGCAAAATTCTAGTTAATACTGTATGAAAATTTTAGTTTGATTAGTTGTGAGGACAAAAATAGTACTTCATTCAAATGATACAAAAAAGAATGAAATTGAACTGTCATCTACCATTCTTTTATTAACTTAGTAAAGAAAAAAGGTAGATCAAATTGTGTTCTCCGCACCAGCATTCGATACTCAAAACACTATATATTAGCTACACATGCTCTATGCAGTACATGCTCAATCACAATCTCATCATGATTTCTTCTCTGTCTCTATGAATAGTGTCCTTATGAAATTATATATGACTTGTATCTTCACAATAGACTTGATAACAAGTACTCTAATAATTTTTTAATAAAAGAAAACCTTGAGAGAATCAAAAAGTGTTAACAGGAGACACTATACACAAGAGAGAGAAGAAACTACATTTTGGCAATTATGCCACAAGTTTGCAGCTTTCAATTATCCCATAATAAATACCCATATAAACTGCATAGAAATTTCCTAGAGACAAGATCCAATGCATAAACTGACACTAAATTTCTACTTTACAGAAAGATGAACAATACAGTATGAAGATTAAATAAAACTCTAGCGTTGAATGTACAGTAACGAAATTACTGTTTCTGGTGGAGCCATGGTGGCTCCCTGAAGCTATCTTGCTGAGATTACTCCATACTAAGAGGTCAAACCAGTCGTGGATATTACCAAGTAGATTCTAGCAGTAAATATTAGTAAATGTTGTGGATATTACCGAGTAGATTCTAGCAGTAAAAGATCTTCGCACATTATCCAGGTCAGCAATTTCTCCAGCTTTGAATGGGACTGTTAGTGTGCAACAATAGTCCACTCTAAGAGAGCACTGCTGTCTTAAAAAGTTTTCAGTTTTTGCTCTTGTTTGAAAGGTTCTTGTTATCCAGCCTGTCATTTTTCTTGCAGTTGTGGCAGCTACTTTGTTTTCCTAAAAGCAAGATCTTCCAAGACAATTATTCCTCCACAGAGGAGACCATGGGCCATGAAAGGTTGAAAGGCACCCCACCGACTCCAGAGCACAGCCACACTCCGTGCCTAACACTTGAGACTGAAAAAGATCCTTCCAAGGAGAATGTTTGGAGTGGGAGGTGGGTTCTGAAGGGAAATGCCCCAAAACCCAGGCAGGACCAGAAAGTTCAGCTGCCTCAGCTGTCAAAATAGATGGGACCACAACTGGAGAAGGCCAAACTACACCCTGAGCTAAACCCTGACCCAACTTCCCATTGCATCTCTGCACAACCAAAAGAATGCCCTCAGCAAAGGGCCCAAACAAATGAGTCAAAGACCCGAAAATAGCCAAAGGCGAGGCTCTCAATGCCAGTGGCTTGACCTCTCAGGTGCAAACTTCCAAACACACCTGAGAAGATAATTCTGTCAGTTCATGAGCAGCACCAGCAGGTACCTAGGAAAGAAAGCCACATGCAGCCAGAAGTGTAACAAAATGCCAAGCCCACACAACAAGCCAGAGATAAAATATGCATGTGAAGCTAATGCTAATATCAAAGAACAATACATAAGCAAATGGCCCCATGAAGGACAAAGTTCAAGAATGGCAGTACTTAATTTGAAGCAGAGGAGCTTGCACATGACTAGTGGACCTGAGCATTACAGGTAGAACCTTCCAATGTATCATCAGCAACACAACTCACCAGAGTAGCTGATTGCAGGCAGAGGCCAAGCTACCTGGTAGTGGAAATTGGTACTAATGAGTTTCAAGCTAGTTTGAGTGAATCCCTTGTTTTGTGTGAATTGTTTGGCAGTTTGGAGGTTTAATTTTCTGTAAGCCTCCAGTTGTCTGCAAAGCTTCGTTGAGTTTCCTGTATACTTTTCTGGAAGTTGGCGATTTGTCACACGTTCCTTATGCCTCTTGTGAGGGGGCCAGATTCTTCCTCTGGTCCCTGGTAGGCCACCTGACTACCTGATGATGATTCAGAGGATCAATGTTCCCATGGTACAGTCTCTGACCAGGCCTCCTGGTTGCTGGTCTGATCAACCAGAATGTTTGATGCAGCTGCTTTCAACCTGATGTATGAGTCACAGCCTAGTTCATCAGGTATTCCTTTAAGTTGCTCGTCAAGTTCTCTTTTGAACAATGCAAGAGGTCGGTCAGTTATGGCCTGTGTGTTGTGAAAAAGTGTGTTGGAAAGTTTTCAGCCTTAGATGTTCTTTGAGTTCTCTCTCAGCATGCTTAATGCACCTCTGCTCTTCAATGGAGCTATTCTGCATATCCTGCCATGCCTACTGGTCTTATGTGGTGTTATTACCATGTGCAGATTTGGAACCAATCCCTCTAATATTTTTCCATGTACATTATTATATCTCTCTCCCACCTGCACTCTAAGGATTTAAAATTTTTAAGCAGTCCCAAATAATTTAGATGTTTTCATGATTCTAGCAGTAAAACATCTTTGCTTGCTCTCCAGGTCAGCAATTTCTCCAGCTTTGAATGAGGCTGTTAGTGTGCAACAATATTTCACTATAGAGAACACTAATGTTTTATAAGGCATTGGTGTGGCATCTCTTGTTTGGAAGGTTCTTGTTATCCAACCTGTTATCTTTCTTGCAATTGTGATATCAACTTTGTGTTCTTTAAATGTAAGACATGATTGCTACTAAATCTTTTATATTTCTTTTTTTAAAAGTGTGGTTTGTGTTTTTATATGGTTTCTGCTTTTTGATGCTTTTATTATTCCACAGTACAGTAAATGGAACGTATTCTCATCAAACATTATGTTATTTTCTGTTTCCAATTGAGACGATTAATATCCAATTGGAGGTTTGCCGTGTCCTCTGTATTGTTTACTCATGAAAATTTTTGTGTCATCTGCAAAAGTTGATAGTATTATAGTTTGTATCCTTGTCAATATCTGATATGATGATGAGGAAAAGTACAGGAGCAAGCACGGTACTATGAGGGGCTGAGCTTTTCATGGTAGATGATTCAGATTACACTTTGTGGATTATTACAGAACTTCCACAACTGATATGACCTTTCAGCATGGATCAATCTCGGCAAGATAGCTTCAGGGAGCCAGCAGTGGCTTCCCCAGAAACCCAAAACTTTGGAAAATTGTCTTTCACTTAATATAATTCTAATTACTATATACAAATTACTGTTTTTGGTTTTTAAATTTCTTATCTTATAATCCAAAGCTAACTTGAAACAGTATATATATCAAACAAACCATTCTGTAAATCAAAACAAAATTTCTCGTGCACACACACACGTCCATGCTACATCTAAGTAGGCAACATTATTCATCAAACTGAGTGCCTTTATTGTGACATCTTTCACCAACAGTACTACTGGTTGTAAAATTTGTAATAAATAGGAGTTTAACTATGGCCAAGAGAATTATTTGTAATTATCTTTTCTCCATTAACCCATATAAAATTCAAAAGAAAAAAGTAAATTACTCGTAAATTACAAAAGGCAAATTTTGTTCCAATCCATAACAAACTTGAAGGTATTGTAATTTGAAGGTAATTTTAACTAGATATAAAAATGAAAATTATCAATTATGCATTGGTCACATAATTAAAAAAATACAAAAGTAGCAATAGCTTTACATCTTGTCTTCAGGAAATTTCACAGTTCATGTTTAATCACGTCCAAAATTGTTGGAACATTGTCACACCCACTGTCATATGCACTATTATCAGGAGTAGGCAGAAAGAGCAAAGATAGAGATAGCCAAATTGGGAGACGCACTGAAAACTAAATTCAGTAAGCTTAATGATTTACAATGCGCAAACTCAAAATTTGTTGCAAGAATTCTTAATTTTGAATAATGTACATGGTGAATTTCTTAATCAAATTATAAAGATATGTTGAAAATTAATTACAAATATATACAGCTGAATTAACAAACTTGCAGCAAACTTCAAATTTGATCATAACTTTCTACTGGGTCATGGTGGAGACTAGGATGCATGAGGTGAGCGTGCCAACCTGTCGCGCCACATGCCCGAGGTGTTGGTCCCAGCTGACAGACAGGACGCCAGGCTGTTCAGGCTCACTCTGCAACCCCCAAGGCCAGGACATATAGGCTCACAGTTAACACAGCAGAACAACACACCAGCACAGCGCTTGGCCAAAGAGACCCACACCACCAGGGACTATGACATCATAAGTGCTGGTTTACAGGTGTGCATCCCAACTTTGCCAAGCTTTCTAATCACATTTTTCTTCAGATCCAATGCACACACATATAAAAGCTTTACAGAGTTTAATGCCAAACAAAGCCAAAAGGATAACATGAAATATCACAAGTGCTGGATATAAAAAAAAATGAGTAAACTGGTTTAAAAGGTAAGCAATTGCATGGAAAAAATATAAAGTAAAAAATATATATAATTTAAGAATGATAATTAATAGCAAATAAGAAGGGATAAGGGATAAAGCACAAATTATGCATTTACAAATCTATATTTCCATACCCAACAAGTCACATAAGGGCCACAGCAAATCACACAATCAGGCAACACTCAAAAGCTCCTACAGTTGCACTGCTACCCTAAAATAATAACTACCGTTGTTTAACAGCCATTATGTAGTGGAAGGAGAGTGGAGAGAAGTAGTGGAACTCGTCACAATACCCAGCCAAGACTGAGCCAGCCGTGGACTTTCTCTACGTGTCTCTCAGATTCTATTTCTGGTACCTGGCAGTGGCTTTTTCATGGGTGATCTCAGAGCCTGACTTCACAAGTGCCAGTCTTTACCCATTACATTAATAATATTTCATATCATAATTTTTGAAAATGATACCAATTCTTTCATAATTTAATCATGTAGGGAATAATGAATGCTTAAAGTATTTTTGTCAGATGACTAACTTTAAGCAGAAATAGTCCTAAGCAAAGCTTAAGAAAATATACTCAAGAATAGACAGGGTGCAAGGAAACACTGATTGTTAGTTGTCAAACAGACCCCATATAGAGCAGAACAATGATTCTGATTCAAAGTGGCTCAACACAGTGTATTGTCAGACAAGAAATATCCCCAGCAACAGCTTATACCACAGATCGAAGCAACAGGACATTAGTTGGTTTAGTCGTTCCAACGCCCTGTTTTACCTTCTAAAATATGGCCAATCATTCTCCGCAGTTGCAGAGTCGGTGAGAAACGAGTACACTGATGATCGATTGCCACTTCCCAAACTCTGAAAACTCTTGTAGCTGAGCCAACCAATAGAGAATAAATAAATCATCATAATTTGGAACACAACTTTCCGGATAAATTATCACAGCTACTTTTATAAACAAAACTCAAACCCTTTCCGCTGGCTCCTTGAAATTTCTCAGGATCAACAGGAAATATATTATATGTAAACATAAACAGGTAAAATTTGTATTTGCTATTATGGGACAAGTGGCACAAGGACAGAAGACAACAAATACAATGTACAGTTAGTAGTGGAGTGCATTCAAATACTTCCTGCAATTACAACTACATCATTAATGTTACTTGCAAGTCTCATGTAAGCTAATTCTAGACAGTATAATTTTAACAAAAATAAAAGAGCTGCTCAACAGCTTACAATTTGGAGAAGAAAGTTATGAAACTCATTCTACACCCAATTTTGTACTTTGCGAGTTACTAAAATATCCAGAGTGAAAGTTATGTGTAGGTACAAAAGTACGAACTCAAATTTCCTTATATTCCTGTCAAGTGCTTCATGAGACTACTGTGTTATCACTCACACACACACACACACACACACGATGGGCTTACAAGTGTAATCACAGAAATTGAACTTAGGCATGTTATATCTAATCAATCACAGAATATTTAAATAATGAAAAACAATCATTTCACACACCTGAAGATCTAAATTAAAAACGGAAGCTGTTCATCCGCTTGCAAGCACAGCCAAAGTAAGTAAAGAAAATAAACCAATGGCAAGGAATTTGTCATGGGGATTTGGCAGGCAGCCAGCACAACACTAGTGCGTGCTAGGGTGACAGTCCACATGAGAGTAGAGCACTATGAATGAGAGATTAGGAGTTGTGAAGATGAGGGAAATTCTCAAACCACACAATTAACAGTGTTTTACCTAGCTGCATGAAGCCTCCAAGAAATTTGTATGCATTGTATCAGAGCATTAAATTGAACACAAGCTAAAATACTATACATGAACCCTGTGACATCCAACTAGATAAACTGCAAATCTTATTAATGAAAATTGCGTACTCCTTCTAAAATCTGGATTTCCATATACAATATAAGGATTCCTCAAAATAATGGACCAAATTTACCCACCAGTTCTCCCCCTTTATATTTTGAATTTGTTGTAAAAAGTCCAAATTGTAAGGATCGCAGTGAAATCTAGATCATTAGGTAAAGTAAATTCCTTGAGACTTTTTTTTCCAATTTCTTGTATTCATGTACTGTTTTATACTGTTGAATAGAGTTCAGAATTTAGGCCAGTGGAATTGCCAGAAAGGTTGTTATTAAATGGAAAAGGTTCCAAAGTATTTCTTAGGAAAACTTAAGTGAATATTAAAGAGAGATTTGGGCATGGGAGAAAGTGGATGGTCCTGGTTTTAAAAACATCGTGTGGCTAGTTTTCATATTGAGAAATAAGTGTTCTAAATACTGATCCTATTTTCTTTAATACAGTACTATTTTTAAAGAGTTAATAAATATGGCTGAAAATTTTAACTGAAGTAAATCTTTTGGGAAATACAAAGTTAATGAGACTGTTTTAAGGGAAATTGTACATCTGATTTTCATTTTGAGAAAGCATTTTTTCAACAACCGTATGCTCTAGCTGAAGCATACGGTTAATTAACTACTTCACCTACACCATAATTTAGAATTTTCTCTGGTACGATTTAAGAAAAATTAAAAATAGTTTATGGTAAACTAAAAAATAAAAGGCTCAGACTTAAAATGTCTTCACAAATATTTCTATGAGCAATAATGCCACTTGCTCCAAAATTATTCTAATTAATGACATGTATAACAGCAAGGTACTTTTTTATTAGCTAATAACTTCCAAATTTTGTTTAACTTGGTAACTGTAAATATTTATTATTAAAACTAAATTATCTCACGTTTCTATAGTGTGAACTGTTAACTGACTACTGTACTTGTATTTACCCATAAATCTTTTAATACAGTACAGTATATCAGTTTATGTAGGTTGTCTCTTAAGGGTTAATTATGTGCGTATTACATTTTAAAAAATTTTCATAGATGAGCACAAAAGCGTAAGAAACAGTTGGTGCCATAAGTTGACCATTTATCATAATTTATTTAAAAATTCTATGGCTTATTTTCAAATTGAGTTTTACACGAAATCTATGGAAATGTGATGATAAATAGTAAAAATGTGCAAGTTTTCATAAATGAAAATTTCAAGGAAATTTGGCCCTATTACGAGTGAGTATGACCCAGATTTTTGAGGGAGCAGTGTATTCAAATACATGATATCTTTACACTGAACTACTGTATTTTATTGTCTTTTTGAAAGGCTAATGTAGTACTTTGTGTAACAATTCAGATAAGGAACAAGAAATGTACTGTATGTAGAATGGTGCTCTTTATATATAGTACAGTACTGCACTTTTCCTTTCAATAAATGAGTGCTCATATTTCTCGGCTTAAACCATTCACTTGCTCACTTGGCAAGTCTCTCTCTCCTTCAAGACTTAGCACATTCCAGCTAGTATCAGTGCAATTTTCATCATCCACACTGCAGAGGGAATGCAGAGAACCCTTAAAACTATTTTTTATGAGCCATATATGATGAAGGCGAACACTGTATAAATCTCAATCTACCCAGCCGTGAATGACTCAGAAAGTGACTTCATCTAGTCCATCTGGAGGCCCAGACTTCATCTGGGAGCCGGTCAGCCGAGCGGAGAGCACGCTGGACTTGTGATCCTGTGGTCCTGGGCTTGATCCCAGGCGCCGGCGAGAAACAATAGGCAGAGTTTCTTTCACCCTATGCCCCTGTTACCTAGCAGTGAAATAGGTACCTGGGTGTTAGTCAGCTGTCACTGGCTACTTCCTGGGGGTGGAGGCCTGGTCGAGGACCGGGCCGCGGGGACACTAAAAGCCCCGAAATCATCTCAAGATAACCTCAAGATATCTACACTCAAATAATCTATTCCAACAAATACTGTTTTGTACTTTCATTTTCAAAAATCTATCGGTAGCTCTCTGCTCTGACTAACTATGAGCTGCTAGTTGACTCCCAGATTCTTAACCGCATCCACCAGCAGGCGATACACTGGTTTTGCAAACAAGGAGTGAATAGAAATTCCACATCCTCTTTTCCACTACTTTCCTACCAACGGGATCTTACCAGTCATCAAGAACCCTACCCAAAAAGTTAAGCACATAGTCTTTTGTCCAGTGGGCTCATGTCTTAAGTGAACTCTCTTCATGAATGTGTGTGTAATTACCTAAGTGTAGTTACAGTATGAGAGCTACACTCATGGTATCCAATCTTCCCAGTACTCTTTCTCATATAACGGTTTGAAACTACTGATGGTTTTGGCTTCCAACACCACCACACTTGTTTCAACCATCAACATAAACTTTTTTTTTTGTTTGCAAAAGAACATTTCTAATATTTTTTGGCATCTTTGTTTTCTCTTGTTCTTGAAGTTTGTGGTTTCAGGAATTCCTCTTTGTTAATTTTGTTGATACCTGTTATTATTTTATAAGTGGTAATCATATCGCCTCATTTTCTTCTATTGTCTAGCTTTGGCATATTAATGCCTCTAGCTTCTCCTTGTAACTCTTGTTTTTTTAGTTCTAGAAGTCATTTTGTAGTATGTCTTTGCACCTTTTCCAGTTTATTGTTGTGCTTCTTAAGATATGGACACCATAGAACATATTCCAATTATGGTCTCACAAAAGTTGTGAACAGTTTCTTTAGTACAGTATTTCACTGTCCATTAGGTTAAAAGCAAGTCTGAATTTGGAAAATGCATCATATGCTCCTCGCCAATGTATTTTATGAGTTCCTCTGGTAACATTTTACTATCCAAAACCAGCCCTAGGTCTCGTTCTTTATTAGAGTTCTTTATTTCCTTTCCACGTAATTTATAAGTTGTGTGTAATCTATTTTCTCCGATTCCACTTTCCATAACATGACATTTATTCACATTGAATTCCAACTGCCATATGTTGCTCCAAGCACTTATTTTATCTAGAACCATTTGAAGGGCATTACAATCGTCTCCGTCTCCTATCTTCCCCAGTATCTTAGCATCATCTACAAACATGTTCATATAATTCTGAACTCCTTCCGGTAGATCATTTATGTAGAAGATGAACATTGCCGGTGAAAGAACTAAACCCTGCAGGACTCAGCAAGCAACACTCCTCCAGTCTGACATATTGCCTCTGATTACTACCTTCATTTTTTTGTCAGAATAATTTTCATCCATGTTAGAAGCCTCTGTCACTCCTCTAGTATGTTCCAGCTTCCAGAACAACCTCTTATGAGAACTCTGTTGAATGCCTTTTTAAGGTTTAGATAAATGCCATCAACCCAACTATCTTTCTAATATAAAATCTCTGTGGCTCTATCATAGAAACTAAGTAAATTAATTACAAATGATCTTCCAGATCAAAAACCATACTGTCTGTCTGTCTGTCTGTCTAATTATATAATTTTTTCTAGGTGATATATCCCATTTAGTTAAAATAAAATATTGGAAAAATTTTATTTTGACTATTACACTTGTCAATGATACAGGTCTATAATTAAGGGGATCTTCCCTGCTGCCACTTTTGTGGATTGGAACTATGATGGCCTTTTTCCACATATCTGCTAGGACTCCTGTCGACAGGGATGCCTGAAAAATCAGTTGAAGTGGAATGCAGAGCTCAGGTGCACATTCTCTCAGAACTAAAAGTGAAACTTCATCTGGGCCAACTGCTATGTTCTGACTTGGCTCCTTGAGCATTTTTCCTCTTCATCTCTAAACACCTCTATGTGCTCTGTGTTGAATTTTTATTGGGTCTGGTTCTCTGAAGAGTTCATTTTGCACAAACACTCTTTTAAACTGTTCATTTCATATTTCACACATTTCCTTTTCATTTTCTGTGAATCTGGTTCACATTTTCAACCACGGGATATTATCTTTTACCTAAAATTTGTTTTTAGTGAATTTATTGAATTGGCCTGGTTCTGTTTAACACTTGTTCACTATCCCTTTCTCAAAATTTCTTTCTGCCTCATTTCTCACTGTTGTGTAGTTGTTTCATGCTTCTTCATATCACTGGTAAGTTTGAGGGTTTGGCCTCTTCCCATATTGAGAGAATGGGTGGGTATGTTTGTGTGAGAGATTACCAAAGTGTAGTTAATGGATGAGAGCAACACTCGTGATGTCCTGTCATCCCAGTACAGTACTCTGTTAAATGACGCTTTCAAACTATTGAGAGTTTTGGCATCCACCGCCTTCTCACTTAACCTTCTCCGTCTATCACTATTTCCAAAAGATAACTTTCTAATAATTTTTGGGGACCTTTGTTTACTTAGCTTGAATCTATGATCTTGTTCTTGAAGTTGCAGGTTTCAAAAATTTTTAATTTTGTAGATTCATGTTAATATTTCTGTATGTAGTGACCATATCACCTCTTTTTCTTCTATCTTCTAGCTTTAGAATATTTAATACCACTAGCCTCTCCTTGTGGATCTCGTTTTTCAGTTGTTGAAAACATTTAGTAGCATATCTTTGCTCCTTGAGATACATGCACCAGACAACTGCAGCATATCTTGAGATGATTGATTTTTGATTTTCCAATGCATATTTGGAATGCATATTTTCCAATTGCATATTCCAATTTTAGTCCTACGATTCTGAAGCTGGATAGGGTAGCACATGCTTCTCACATAATGTCCTTTTCATGTGGTTTTCTGATGACAGTAATATCCAGAACCACCCCTAGATCTCTTTGTCAGTGTTCTTTAGTGGCTTTCTACAGAATTTGTATTCTGTGTGTGTTCAGTATCTTTGCATCTCAAGCTCCTCTGAACCCAAATACTCTTCACTGTGATGGTTTTGGTAGTACTGTACATTCATCAGGTTCTTCCACTTTTGAGATCTTTCCTTTGGCAGAACCTTGGCTTCTGGTTTCATGCCATAGCATTTGGGCTGCACACAAGCATTTAGGGTATACTACCTTATGTGGTTCTAAAAATAAGTATCCCTACAGGCTGGTCTCTCATCAGTCCTTCTGGATGATGCTCTGATCAACCAGTCTGTTAGACACTGCTGCATGCATTCTGATGTAGACATCACAGTCCTGTTGATCAGGCACCCTATGAAGGTTTTATGAGGACTAAACCACACACCAGAAGATGAGGAGACAACAATATTTTGGCCTGTCCTGGACCATCATCAAGTCGATTGTGACAATCAATTTGATAATGGTCCAGGACGGACTGACACATCATCACCTCCTCGTCTTCTGGTGTGTTGTTTAGTCTTCATATCTTCAGCCACGTTATTGTGACTCATCATCTGAAGGGTTTTACTTTAAACACCAAAACAGGTCAGCTAATTATGCTCCACATATTTAGATGTTAAAAAGTCTTGGGTCCTATATGTTTATAGAATTGATCTTTTAATAGTACAGTACTCATTGCGCTCTTTTCAACCAAGTTATTTGTGTACACTCTCTCATCCCTCCTGCTCTAGTAAGGAATTATTTCAATATGCAGATTTGAATCTAGTCCCTCTAATATTTTCCAGGCATAAATTATGATGCAAGTCTCACAGCTGTGCTCTAGGAAGTGCAATTTGTATGCTTTTAAGTGGTTCCAGTAATACAGATATTTTACTGAATGAATTTAGGCAGTTAAATTTCTTTATGTTATTTAAGTCAGCAACATTTACAGCCTGGAATTGGGAAGTTAATGTGCAATACTGTAGTATTCTACTCTATATAGCACAGTACTAGTGCTTTAATAGAATACTATAGCTGAAAGATCCTTCTAAAATTTTGAGCTACCTACCTAACTGTTGATGATTCCAAGGATCAATGTCCACACGGCCTGGTCTCTGACCAGGCCTCCTGGTTGCTGGTCTGATCAGCAAGGCTGTTTGATACAGTTGCTTGCAGCCTGACAAAGTCACAGCCTAGATTAAGATTTTTTCCAAGTTCTTGCTTCTCCCATATATGACTTGCAGAGATAGTTGGAACAAATTCCTATTATGTCAGAAATTAAGGTCACATTGAACCTAGCTGGAGTCAGCCGAGGTCTGGAGTAGAAGGAATCTTGACTAAGGGTGACCGAGTTATTTGCCCACAAAGAAGATTAGCCTTATGTTTATTATTTGGCAATAAAAGTATTATTTTAAATGTAAATTTTAATACAAATACTGTTTTCTGTTTGATTAAAATAGTAATAACAGCAAAAGTTTTGTGCAATCTGTGTCAATATCAAATAAAAGAAGTCATGCATTCTATTTCTGTTAAAAAATTTCTTGGAGACCCATGTAATGCTTAGGACATACCCTTCCCACCCATTGAGAATCTCTGTAGACTTCTCAGTTACAGAAGTGACTTGGCCTAGAGTGATTTGCCCCTTGAAGGTCTGGTCTGTGTCGTTATGCCCCAGTATTTCCTGCACTGGGACATGCTGAACTGGCTCCTGGATCATTTGGGAAGATAACTGAGGAGCCAACTTGGTCTGGATGATCTGAGACTCAATGTGTGACTCAATCATTGCGGAGTCTACAGTTGTGTTGAGAGTGGTGTTCAAAGACTCCGGCCTACCAACCCCAAAACCATATTTATCATTATTCTTTTTCTAACATAATTATGGCTTGAACAAATATTTTAGTTGGAATTATTTCTTTTTGTATTATTACATAAGCAATATTTTTAATAGCAATTATAAATAAAAGCAATTTTCAAACAATGAATATCTTAATTGACATGTATGACAACTGCACAATTATGCATAGCTTATTAGCCCCTTCAGCACACATTACTATGATTTAACTCTTCAACTGCACATATCAACCAGGGTCGTTTCATTGGTGGTGCACACATCAATCAGGGTAGATTTTAGGTCTATCTTTAAATTAAAAACTCCAGCAGGTACACAGGGCTCACATCCGCTTCCTCAGGTCTCCAATAAACAAACACCATCTTGAAAAAATTGAGGGAACCCCTGCTTTGTGTGACAGTGTCACTACTAACACAGCAACCATGGGTAGCACATACAGCAGAAGCTCACAGCACTGCCATGCAGCCTGTGCTGACACCATCACATAATGATGTAAAAACCAGCGTTGAATGTAATGAAACCCCAGTTTCTGGGCGAGACCTGGAGGCTCCCCAGAGCTAATCACACTGATATGAATGTATTAGACCCTGGCATCAGTCAGTGCATATGGAGTTCTAGGCATACAGGAGTCCACGGCCAGAACCTGCCCCTCCCACCCTCAGAGAGACACAAGGAGTAATGGCCTATAGAAACCCCCATTTGGTTGGAAGCATTCTCTGTCTGCTGTCGACTGGGTAAGGCACCCAGAAAGGTAAGCGCCCAAAAACAAACCCCTATTCTGGTTAAAATATTGCAACTGAAAGCCGAACAAGTGGACAGAACTCCCCAAATGAAAACGAGCAAATGAGCATGACATCACCACGTCGTTACGTTGTGCAACTCCCCCCCACCCTCCCCAGGAGGGGAAGGGGGAGCCCCAGACCCCCACACCAGCTATCCACCCTGCAGGTCCGAGGCTGGATGTCAAAAACTGTGAAAAACCCAAAGAGGGATCCATTATGGAAGCGTAATCCATAATCCAAGGGTCGTGCAGTTGTTAAGCCGCAATGGCCTCCCCACACCACATGGGACAGGATGTGGGAAGGCCGAAAACCTCCAGAAGGACGGGACCGAAGAACCCAAGGGAGCACGGAACCAAACTCAGGAAGGGATTGACACCAAATCCAACTTTACCAGGAGGGAGGAAAATAAAACCCCACTCCCCGTAACATCAAGCCCCACTCAGAGAGGTACAAAAACCCAAGCGGGGTCCAATGGGACTCAAGGCTCCCCAAGTCATACTTTCCCCAACCCTGGGGAACTTTCCCACAAGGACCCCAGGGTTGAGCTGTCCTCCAAGTTCCCTACCTCAAAAGAAAATGCAGGAGCAGCCAAAAAAGCAGGAACGAAGGGGACCCACTGGTCAGACCCAAAGCTCCGACTCAACATGCTCGAATGCTTCTGTCACCACACCGGAAAGAGCATCCCCCGAAACTGCTCGAGTCTCAACACCAACTAAACCCTGCCCCAACTCCGAAACCCTCAGATGCTTCAGAGGGATGAACTAAAGAAGGGGAAGGACAAGTCCCCATGTCCTTGATAATTTTGTTTGGGGAGTTCTGTCCACTCGTTTGGCTTTTAGTAGCAATATTTTAACCAGAGTACGGGTCTGTTTTGGGGCGCTTACCTTTCTGGGTGCCTTACCCAGTCAATGGCAGACATAGAATGCTTTAAACCACACAGAGGTTTCTATAAGCCATTGCTCCTCGTGCTTCTCTGAGGGGGACTAGATTCTTACTTGTGGTCCCCAGTAGGCCTAGAACTCCATGCACATTGACTGATGCCAGGGTCTAATACATTCATATCAGCCTGGTTTGCTCCAGGGAGCCAAAGAAGGGGAGGGGAGCCCCTCCCCCCCCACCAAAAAGTAAGATTTGCAATTATTTATTAATGATAATAACATAAAAGACCCCTAATAGTAATGAAGATTATGTACAAGGTTCAGATATCAGTAAACCCGATGTTGGTAACTATACTCCCAAAGCGAGGCGGATACCTACAGCACACAGCTGCAATGTAATGCCTCTATGCATTGTACAATGGGACCTCAGGCTTCATCCTCCTTTAGAAAATGAACATTTGAAAAATTATTTATGATCAGGAATTAGTGATTAGAATTCTGAAAATAATAGGCATTTTGACTAGTCAGCAATGGCATAGTATATTAGGTGGCACCTTACAGTGTTAGGTGTTTTTAGAAAATGGGACGCATGTGTGGCTATGCTGTTCATGAATCAATCATTACGAGATTATTACTCACCAGAACTGCTTAGTGGTTCACAACAGTGCATGAACACGTAGATAGTTAAATGTAATGTGTGAATACAGTGTAATAACAACAAGAACAGCATGCTTTATTGTTCTATTATTATACTGTATTGTGGTGTGTATAATAGTTACCCAAATATATTGGTGCATACCAATGTTCACAAATTTTGTGATATAATTAACAGTATTGACAACCCAAAGTATCATTGCACTTGAAAAAAACATGGAAAAACATTAAAAATATAAAGAAAATCATATATATTCAAAGTGTTTACTTACAACTTGGATCAACATGTATAAGGCTAAGCTGCTCTTGGATTAATGGTTACGTGATAATCAGTCACCAATACTGCTTAGTGATTCGTAATAGTTCATATACATGTACAGTAGTTATATATATAAAATGTGTATACAGTGCCATAATAGCACTGTATACACTTTTTCATTACATTCGGCACTGAATGAACTGAAATGCCAATTTCTGGGTAAACCCCAGTGTTGACCAAACCACACACTAGAAACTGAAGGGACGACTGTGTTTCAGTCCGTCCTGGACCATTCTCAAGTCGATTGTGATGAGGTAAGGAGGCGATGGCAATAAATAGGCAAGAAAGAGGTGAGAAGGAAATCTTAGAGCAAGGCAAAAGGTACGAAAGGTAAGGTGTAATAAAGGCGATAGTAATAAGAACATACGAACAAAGGTAACTGCAGAGGGCCTATTGGCCTATATGAGGCAGCTCCTATTTATAACCACCCAATAAGGGGGAAGGTAAAAGGAATAAGGAGATAGTAATAGCTATAAGCAAGAGAGAAAACAAGGGGAAAGAAAAATAAACCTTAAAAGTTAGCTTACCTTTCGTACCTTTTGCCTTGCTCTGAGATTTCCTTCTCCTCACATCTCTCTTGCCTATTTATTGCCATCGCCTCCTTATCTCATCACAATCGACTTGAGAATGGTCCAGGACGGACCGAAACGTCGTCGTCCCTTCACTTTCTAGTGTGTGGTTTGGTCAACATTTTTCAGCCACGTTATTCTGACTCTCTCACCTGCAAACCCCACTGGTTCCTCGAAGCTACGATCTCTAATACTACTGGGTCCCATCAGTTAGTGGAGTTCTATTGCCTGCTGGGGACCAGTGTCAGAACATGGCCTCTTCACAGAGGTGCAGGGAGCTGTGGCATTTATTTATTTTAATTATTTATGCCACCACCAAGGAAGGTACCCCAGAAAATTAGTGAAACAAAAACAACTGCTGGCTTTAAACTAGACCGCAGCCTCAAGAATCGCCAAAAGAACTCCCCAAACCACATAATCAAATTATTTGAATTTCATGAAACTATGGCTAGCTCGTTTGACCCCTATCCTCCCCCCCCCCTCACTTTCTTGGGGGAGGGAGGAGATGGAGGAGGAAGGGAGCCTGCAATCAGCCATCAGCTCCACCTGCAGGTCTATGATGATGCAAACACTTCTGATGTCTTCGAAGTAGAGAGCCACTGAGGCTCAGTGGCTGGGGAGCCAGTGAGGCTCACCCAGAAATTGGCAATATATTACATTCAATGTTAGTTTTCTAGGTTGGAACCCCTTGTGGCTCCCTGGTGCTAAAAATCTGCAGAGAAGAAAACAATAGACACTGAACAGGGAAAAGGGAACACTGCATGTACTATGAAGAAGAAGAGATTCAAAAGCCTTGGCAGGACCGGTAGGCTCAAATCCCACTTCAAATCCTAGGCTTCCTCCGCACCCAAATCAGAAGGGAGCAAACCACAAAGCTGACCAAGCTCCAATCCAAGCTAATCCCTGCCCGAAACCCTCAGATGTTTTGGGGCTGGAAGCAGGTGGGGAGAATCAAAGGAAGGGCAAACCACACCCAAAGGAGAAGGGAGAGGCGTGGGTGGAGCCAAGGTTGAATTATCTAGCACCTCCCATTCCAGCTCCCTAAACATCAAATGGGACAGCTCCAGGGCATCTAACTGGGCACACAACCCTGACCACTGCAACACAGAAAACCTAACATGCAAAGCAGTCACTGCCTGATAAGCCCTCCTAACCTCATTGGGAGGGTCAGAAAGACGAGCAACATGAGAGGAGCAAACCTAACTTAACTCAGAGTCGAAGGTGTCACCCACCCAACACACAGCATGGAAGAGGCAGAAGGAATGAAAGTTGCCATGTGGCATGGACAACGTGCAACCATCAAACTCTCACGAAACGAGTGGATTAGGAGGGAATATCCGTAAGACCACTGAACCCACAGGAAATTTCCAAGGTCTGCAGGGAAATAGACCCAAAAGTACACCCAGGCACTGGGATGTATGGCAATTATAAAATATATCAGTATGAGATACGAGTAAGCCATCACAGCCTAACACACAAGACGGTGAAAGCTGATTTCGACACGTTAAAGTGCAGCACACGAGTAACCAGTGCTCCCCATCTGCCACTATCACTCCTGACACGAGGAAAGACAAAGCCCAAGACCCCTGATCGACCCCAGGCGAGAGCCACCACCAGCGAGAAGAACCCCTAAGACAGCAAATCCATAACATTGGCAGCAGAAGGGCAGCACTAGGAAGCACACAAGAAAGAGAACCCTGAGAACAAGCAGCTCCAAATGCGCTAAACTCCTGGCTCATGCTACACTTATGTGTACAGGAATAATCACAAAGCAAAAA